AAAAATACGTGAAAACTACGTCAAATACGTGACGGATACATGCAGTATGTGAAAGACACGTAAATAAAGATACATCAAAAACATAAAAATTACGTGAAATACGTGAAAACTCGCCAAAAAATACGTGAAACGTCGCAGAACTACGTCAAATCAATCCATCAATCGACTCACCTTTAATGGCCTTTAACAACGGTGCCAACGCCGGTTTCCTCCTCTCCAACTGCGCCTGGGCATTCAAGAGCGTGCTGTTGAACTGAAATTGACACCCGCCCGGATGAGTCAACGACGATATCAACACGAACACTGCCGTCACGTCCAGATTCACCGTATCAAACACAAACACCTCCCTTTGCCTTCCCTCTTCCCTGCCCTCCACTTTACAATCTTCCCCCATAACCAGTTTCCCACTCTCTTCTCGATCTCCCACCTCAATTCCAGATTCCCGATTTTTGCCATCTTCCCGTCGCTCACCACAATCTCTTCCCATTCCCATTTCCTGCCCGTATTCATCACCCGCTTCTTTACTCAACTTCCTCCTAGATACGACCGTCTCATTTGCGTCGGGTAACTTTCCCAGATCACCTGAATTCGCCGCTCTCGAGCGAACAATCTCCGACTTCAAAACACCACCGAATTCATTCTGATCACTCGANTGATCAATTCGACTGCAATCGCAACTCAAAGAGTCCTCCTCCGATTCGTCCCAATCCTCAGGCAATTCAATCAGCTCATTCATTGCTATCTAAAACATTTACCATTCCGATTACAAATCAAAATAACAATAAATTATTCCTTCCAAACACATTTTCTTCACAAAATTCACAGCTTCCAGCTATATTTCCCCGCAATTCAATTCAACATGATGTAATCTGTCAAAAAATACCAAAATATTATCACCCATACAATAAATTTTTAAATTTATAGTTTCCAGAACACATCCACCTCTATTATTATACCTCTTTTAAGCAAAACTTTCATAACAAATTCAAATTCCAAACGAAAACAATCACAAAAACATTATGCAAATAAACCAACCCGTTCGCCAGCTATCCTAATGCCCATCGCTTCAATTCGTTTCGCTAAAAGATCCGGTACCCCATTTAAAAACTCGAAAATAATCTCCGGCGCTCTAAAGAAATACGGAAAGTATTCAGCCATCTGAAAACAAAACACAATCAATTCACTTCCACCACCTCAACAACTTCCCCAAAATCACGAATAAATTCATTTAAAATAACAACGATCAAAAGTAAAATAATAATTTCTCGCAGACGAATAATTTTACCGTTAATTTGTTAACTATTTGCTCGAAAAAAAACGTCAAATAATGAAGAATGTTGTGCCATTTTTGGAATTTTTTAAAATTATTACTATTAAACTATTATTACTCATCTAGATTGTTGCAGAATAAATGAATAAATGTCTAAATCAATCAAAAACACTAAAAATAAACTGACCTTAACATAATCCTCAGCTTGTTCTAACACTGACCTACTCGTACCACTTCCCGCACCCACATACTCCATGGCCAGACCTCGTGCACTCCGTGATACCACTTTCACCTTTAAAATTATTATATCTATTAAATCACAACATCTTTAAAATTATAAATTCACTATAAATATGAACAATATATCACTAATTCATCTTTAATTATAACATTCACGACATTATTTATACAAATCCTCTACCATAACTCTTAACAAAATCTAAATAATATGAACGAATTATACCAAAAACCTAAAAAAATTCAAAAATAATATCTCAATCGTCACCCAAAACAATTTCAGAATCAC